AAAAAAGAAAAAATCAAAAAAAAAATCAAAAAAATAATTAGATAGATTATTTTATATAGCATATATAATATATTTCACTTTATACTTTTCATAATAAATGTATTTCATTTTATTATTTTTTTTTATAATAAACTAAAATTATGATTATTTACAAATAAAAAAAATAAAAAAATATATATATATATAAATAAAAAGTATCGATAGATATCCAATAGAGGGAAAAAAACATCCAATACACAGAGATATACTGTACCCGATATATAGGGATATACTATGGCCGATTTATAAAAGATATGTATCCGATAAAAAAAATAAATAAAATTGGGTACCCAATATATAAATGATGAATTTGAATAAAATGTCAAAATATTAATTCCCAATATGAAACCGATATGGGCCCGATAAGTACCCAAACTTCTGCATTTCGACCTCACCAATCAGGTGCCTGATATATTATATAATTGTTAATATCGGACACCTATCGTATACCTATCGGGCTCCTGATAGGTATACAATAGGTGTCTAATATTCCCTATTTCGACCAGTGTATAATGATAATATATATAATAATTAATAATAAAATAATACAGATATGAATAAATATAATAATAAAATATATAAATAAATAATTAATAAATATAAAAATAAAAACAGAGGTAACAGTGTTTAAGCAAATAAAAAACTTTTATATATAGTAATTTTTAATAATTATTTTAAAAACTTTTTAATTCAATTTGTTATAATAATTTATTTATTAATATTTTATAAAATAATTTTTATTTTAATAATAATAACAATATAATTTGATATACAAATAAGATTATTATATTTACTTTTTTCAATTTGAACTATTTTTTTTATAAAATTTATCATAAATCATTCTTATTTTTAGGTAATGATCTGACTTTTCTATTTAATTCATTTCATAAATTTTCTATTAAATTTAAATTTGAACTTTATATAGGCTATAGAAAACTTGTAATATTATTATTTTCCTTTCATCTCTTTGTTATTTTTGCAATATTAATTGAAGTATTATTTTTTGAAAAATATAATTATCATTATTTCTAGATTATTTATAAATGAAATTAAATTATTTTCTAATATTTTTATATATATTACTGATATTATTCTATTTTCTAATTTAAATAATGATATAAGTTTATTTTTTGTAAAATAACTTCAAACCATTATACTTTTTTGTCTTGATTTTAAAAGTTGAAATAAAATATTTTGATTTATATTTTTCATGAAAATTTTTTTAAAAATATTTTTTTTCATCTTTCCTAAATATCTCAAATCTTGATTAATTATTTCAAATAATATTTTTCCTCTCGTTTATTTAATTTTTTTTACTTTGGTTCAATTTAACCTTTTTATTTTATTTGTGACATTAATAAAAAGTTTTTTAACTTTAATTCTTTTATAAATTTTATTCTTATGAAGATGTCTTTTAAGAGTAATTGAACTTATATTTGTTGAAATAAAAGAAATAAAATTTTCATATATTTCTTTAATATTGGTTTTACAATTTTCATTAAGAACTTGCATCAAGTAATTATTACTTCTTTCATTTATAATATATAGCCAACTACTTTGAGCAGGCATTTTCTCTAATCCATCATTTTTGTAAGTTGAAATAATATTATATATTGTACTTTTTGGATAATTTAGTATCTCAGTGTTTTTCTTTTAGCAATATCACATTTTCAAGCATCATTATTTCACCACATTGAATTCAGTAATTTCTTTATGTTGAGTAGCCATTTTTATAAAATTATTTTTCAAAAAATAAAAATGTGAGATATAATTTAACTAGTAAATTTAGATCTTTTGTTATATTATTGTAAACAAGATATCAATGTATTGTATAATGTTATGACCTTATTTTTAACTGCATATTTTTTATTAAAACTACACAATGTATTTCATTTTAAGCTATGCATATGCAGTGTCATATTAACTATATTAACTGCATATTTTAACATAATTGATTAGAATAGAAAGTCTGTGTTTTTTATTTACTAAAATACTAATGAAAATGATACTAAGTAACATTATAGATAAGAGTATATTGCATCTTGTGTAAAGTATTCAGTTTTTTTAATAAAAAGTGAGCAAATAATGAGCAGTTAAATTTCAGAGAATAATTTTTGAACGCCTAGTGTTCAGCCGTTGATATTAAATTCAATTCGTAAGCAAAACTTTAAAAACTTCATAAGAGATGTTCCCATTCTTGGCTATAAGATTAATTAGTAACACATTTGATGGTTTATTAGTAAATAATAAACTTTTACATGTAGAAACTTTTGATAATTAATTTCGGATTTTTAAAAAAAATCAATGTCGATCATGTAATTTTTCGATATTTTTTAAAAAATCCGAAAATAATTATTGAAAGTTGCTTCACATCGTATTGATATTTCTTTTTTAGAGTTAAGATTTTATTCATTAAATAATCCATTTGTTCGTTAATTAGCGCATTTATATTTTATTTATTTATTGATATATTATTTAAACATATATTTGCATATTATTCAAATGTTTCATAAAGCGTAATAATTATCAACGAAATTAATAATGTCAAAATATAAAATTACGAAAACTATACGATTCATATAGAACTTTAAAATTCTTAGACTAGATTCCTACCATAATACCTTAATTTAATCAATATAATTTATATTTTTAACATATAATGTTCATAATTTGATAAATGTCATAAGAGATTTGCTAGGAAAAAATATTTCCAAGAAATATATTAAATATGAATTTATAATTGCCAATTACCATCTTGTTCATATTGAAAACATTGAGATGAATTAACATCCAAATTATCACATAAAAATTGGGTAAAAGCTGGAGGAATGTATGAATTTTGAGATGATGGAGTGAGACTGGGAGTTTCATTTGGAATGTGTGGAATGGAAAAATTGAATTCTTGAACAATTGCATATTGTTGCGACGAATAGAGAAAATCGGTAACTGGTTCATAAATTGCACTGGTAAATAGTTGTTCAAATTCGGAAGCATTATAGACGGGGTTTTCGTCTGAAGCGGAAATAGATGTCGGTAATGAATCATTTTTGGATTTAATTGATAAAAAATTATCCGCCGTTCCAATGTTTTGTAAATAAAATTTATCGCCTTCGGGCATCAGAACCATTTGAGGAACGATTACTGAGCATTTTGCATTTTGATCGGATTTTTTTCCAAATATTTCGTTATGAACCAGAAAGTCTATGCTACTCAAAATAGTATATACATTTTTTATCTCGGAAGGTTCCACACTCCACCTTTCTTGAAGAATCTTAGAAATTTCTGGCTGAGAAAAGAATGGATGTTCTTTTTGGACTTTCGATTGGTTATCCTTTCTGTAGAGAATAAATCCATTCTGAGCGCGTTTTTTTCCCTTCTTTAATGTTTTTTTGGAAGGAGCTAACAATTCTTCCAAAGGTAAATTTGTTTTTAAGTTCACACCTTGACTTTTTATTGCGTCAAGATGTTTCTTGATTGCATTTTTTAAAACTAACCGAAAATCTTTAGAATCGCGAAGGGACGATGGTGAAGCGATTGTCTTAGGCATCGTTAAAAATGAATGAAATGAAAGACGAATTGAATTTTAACCCAGTGCAGACCATCCATCGAGAAAAAAAACGCGTTAGATTTATATAACTTTTTTTTTTGTGGTTTCAAAGGTTCAAACCAGAAAGTCGGAAAAATTTTAAGCAATGAAAATTTTTTTGCGGAATGGTAGCCACTAGGATACAAATTTAATGGAATCTTGATTCCGCAATTGAAATCTAATGCGCGTTCAATCCAGCAACCAAGAAAATACTTGAAAAAGATTTACATATTTTTTTCCCAACTTACCACTATTTTAATTTGGGCACAATGTCCATAATTTTAATTGTAGCACGAATAGTTAATAATAAAAAAAAGATTATTATGAAATTGCAAATTTGAAAGACAAGTTAGTTATATTTACTAAATTTGTATTGACAAAAGGTGAAGAAAAGTAAACCAATTTATTTCAAAAAAATTGTTATACATAAATTAATTGATACATCCATTATGTCTGGTATTGGTAGGAGCAAATAATAGGTTACCGTTGACAAATGTTTTCTAACCATCTTTTCTTTGGTAACTACTAATAATACATTTATTACATGGAAATGAATTAGGGAACTATGTAATTTTGGTTAAGATTATCATCACTTATTTAATCTATAATGTAATTTATATGTATAAATTTGGGAAGCTACTTTATATAAAATAAATTTTGTATAAATCAATGTATTTGATGTATTTCAGGTTTTCAAATAGACTAAGATGATATAAAATATCGAAATATATAAAATCAAAACTTTGTTTAATTCATAGTTATCTTGAAAGATTATTTTTTTGAAAAATTAAATATCTCATTAAATGACTTTACTAAAACCATATTTAACATAAGTACTCCATAGTTTAAAGAGAATAACAAGTGAGAAACGAAAACGAACAAAATTCATAAAGAATATAGCAAATTCTTTACAACTAAATCTTTTTTCTGTTAATTGTAATAGAATAATTACTTTATTTTTATTTGGCATAAAATTCTTTATCAATTATCAATTATCAATTATCAATTATCAATTATCTTTCTATAATCACTTGATAATTTTCTAAAAATACTTAAATAGGGAGAAATTATTAATATTATCTCAAGAACTCACTGTCCATTTTCTTTTCTTTTGTACTTTGTCAGACAATTTTTACATAATTAACTTATAATAATTACTAAAAAATTGCATGAATTTTGATATGATCTTCTAAATGTAATTGTAAAATTGCAATAAAAACCAAAATAACATCAATTAATTAAATAGAAGTAACAGAAGTTTTTCTACTAAATGAACTCGTCATATGAATACAGATTGCTAAGATTAAATATGACGTAATTAAAAAAAAAGATCGAAAATATTTAAGGGAAACAAATCTCATTCGTTACTTAATAATAAATAGGTTTGTCTATTGAAAGTGGATTTTACTATTCCGAGACATAATGATTTATTAAATCTGTATATAGATTTTCCTCCATGGGCATTAACTACATTTTTAATAATTAATTTCTTATTTTGAAAAAATAGAAATCATTGAAGAATTTTAAAACCAAATTCGCCGTAATCTTAATTTCACTTTCTCCTAAATTATTAAAAATGATTTATAATTCTATAAACTTTATTAATAATAATGTTTTATTTTCACATTACATTTCGTAATTATGTGTATAATGGAAGAATAAATGTCATGTCAAATAGATTACCCCTTACTAATTTTTTATAACCATATAAGACGTAAAAAGAGTTCTTTTATTGTAATAAATGACAATCCAACATACATACTTAACTTTGCCGAAAATTGCGTAATATTAAAAAAATATTATGCATAGTAAATCTAGAAAAATTTTCAATTATTGACTTTATTAAATGTAACAAAATATTATGAATACGTATTATGTAAGTAGAACCCATTGTGTCCAAAAACGTGTTTAAAGGAATTTAAATGAATGGAAATTCTAGGTAAAAAATGTTCACAATATATATAAAAATCACGTGATAAATATAATGTTTACACTTTGTTTAGATGTTACACAGATTAAATTGTGTATTACTAGGTTTGCTTGCATGAAAAAAAAACATTCACGTCATGGACCTTTTAGGGCGAGACCATTTACATAAAAATTCAAAGATTTACTGTAGTTATTTATTTTATTGTACGGGTTGTTATGGTAATAATTAATTTGAACCACGGAACCATCAAGACCATAAAAATGCAATCTGTTCTCATTATTTACTTTAATTTACTCAAAAAAAGAAATTTTCACTTTATAAGTTTCACAAATCCAAAGCCAAATTACTTATTAAAAGAAAATTCCTATGGAATGATATTCTGAATATATTTTATTTAATCCTTTTAATTAAATGCGTTAGTCAGATATTTTTTAAAAAATTCTTTGTTAAACAATATTTGTAAGACACCTTTTAACAATCACAATTTTCACGATCGATAACGGAATGTCTTTACCCCGATATTTACAATAAAATCCGATTATACTATTAACTAATTGACATTACTACGTTATCGATACAATATTATTTGATTATATTGTTTATTGTTTATTATATATCATTTATTATGTTATTGATGATATTATTTTTTCATGAGCACAATTTTCCTATAAAAATCATGACTATTGAACATACCAATGTTTTCTGGTCACAAACGTTATATTTTTAAAAAGTTATGATTTTTTTTCGCAGAGAATGTAACTAATTATTTGATTGGTGTTTTGAAATATAGAAAATTACGTAAAAATTAATAGTTTTCCGCGATTTATTAATTATTTTTTAATTGTTGAAAATAAAATTTTTCCCACTAAACTCTTTTTAGGAATTTAAAATTCTAAATATCAAGAAGAAACTCCGAGTTAAGAAAATATTTAAGAAATTTAATTAAAATGTCTGGAATTATTCCTTTTTTGTCTTGAATGAGATGAAGTCTATCGATATTTTTTTTTAAACAAAGCAAAAATTAGATTCGCATTACATTGTAGCCACAAGTGTGGCTGATGGTATATATAAACTTAGAAAATTCTCATTGTTTGACACTTTCGAATGTCTTGTGCCTCAATCAAAGTGTGATCTAGAATTGAAACATAAAAACGGAGTATTATTACCGAATTCCGGATTATTATCATCATATCCTAAAATAGTAGATAGTAAGTTATATGTCCTAAAAATAGGATAATATCTTAAATAAGAAATAGTTAAAATAGTTTTTTATATTAAATATACTAAATAGTCTAAATATTAAAGATTGAATGCTAGTGTTAAAAAGAAAGTTCATAACTTTAGCTATAGATTATATGTGTGGGAAGAACGATTATTCGATATTCTAAAATTAAAGTGTAACGACAGGTATAATTGTTAATTTTTAACTTGAAACTTGAATCATACGGTAACACTTGATAATTATCAATTCTTTATCTAAAGTTATAATACTATTGGTCCTTAACAAACAACGAATTCTACATTCAAATTTTCTCGGAAATTTTATTATTAAATGTTATAATTTTATCCTATCATTTAATATTAATGCAATTTATTATAACAAATAAAGTATATTTTAGATTCGTGGATCAAAGTTAGATCGAATTTATAGAGATACATGTGTATATGGATTTCTCTTTATGTCAACAATGGATATTTATCATCTGTATTCTAAATTAGAATTAATTTTAAATTGGAATTATTTAAATTAGAATCATCTGTATTTTAAATTAGATTTTAACTTTAATAAGTGATCCCCGATAGGCAATCTTTTTTTTTTTTCACCCGAAAATATTAAAGTTTATTATCACAAACTATCTTATGATTAAATAAGTGATAAAACCTTAATTATAATTTTATAATTTATATTAAATATTTGTTAATTTTACTAAATTAATTATATCATTATTTTTGTATATATATATATATACGGTAATTGATAGAGCTGAGTAATTTCTGTTCATTAATTCTCCTTTGAATTCGGTCATTTTCAGACTATATATGCAAACGGATATCATAATTAAATAAAATAATATTTAATTACCAATCGAAAAAAATTTATCTGTGCACGTTAAATTTTTATTTACGAAAAGAATTTACAAAAAAATACAAATAAAAGTTAAAAAATCTCCGATATTTGATAAATTTATATTTAAGTAAACCTTCTTTCTTGGTTATCTTCTGTGTGTTTCCAATATTATTTCAATTTTCGGTAAGAATTTATTTAAACCTGCGCGTTAGAACATCAGTTATAACATTTGATATTACATTTATTAAGAGTTTTCGATTTTCTTAGGGCTTCTCTCTTCACGCGTCCGCAGGTTATCTTTCTTTAATAAACCAACCTTTAATCTATAAATCCATAAAATGTCTTCGTTATATCATTCCCATGATAATTATTATCCCCAAGAACGCACACAAAGTCCTAAACTTGAATCGAGTTCCTCTTCTGATTCAATTAAAACCAAAAGAAAAAGATCCGAAGGTGATGTACCAGACCAAGCACTTCAATATGCTACCATTGATATGGTTAGATCACTTCAGGCTCAAACTCCATCTGGGTAATTAAATTATGGCATAATTTTTGTCAATAAAAAATGAGAATGCGTTATTTAATTTTTTTTCTTTAAAAAATAGTATTCCAGATAACTGGCGATATAGGCTAGAGATTGTTCAAGAGCCAATGCGAGCACGTATGTGTGGTTTTGGTGAAAAGGTATGAATTTATTACATCAGATCATTTTTATTATTTTTATTTCTTAGATTAAGTATATTTAATATTTATCTTTTTCAGGACCGTCGATCTATATCACCTTTGCCTTTTATTCGCTTGCACATAACTGAAAACAATAAGCCAGTCGACATCAAGTTAGTCAAATAATTTTACTTTATTTACTTTTTTTTCCCATTAAAATGACAAATTATTAATATTATCTTGGAAATATAATGATTTGATTACTAGTAACTTTGACCCAGGATTTTTTACCATTTGTGCGGTCCTATATGATTATAGTTCGAACAAAGAAGCTTCGATAGTAGTTCATCCACCCTCTAGCACCAATATAGGCAACATGTCTCAACAATTAGGCATGAAGAATCTAGTTGGCAATTGCCTCGTAGATGGAAAACGTCTTAAAGATGCTGAAGGAGAACTCGGTATCTGGTTTGTTTATCAGGATCTTAGTGTCCGTACTGATGGTGTTTTTTACTTGAAATTTGAACTAGCCTATATCGGAAGGTAAGGAATAATATTTTGGAATTTTAATGATTCGCCGAATATGGACACTCATTTTTCCGATACCATTGTTTGTGCTTTGTTTGATTTGTTTACGATCTCGATTTGGTTAATGTTATAAATCCAATTCCTTGGAATCGGATTGTTGATATTACAAAAAAAAATTATAAATTTATATATTGATTATATTATACTATATTTATCTTATTAATTATACGTTTTATCATATAGTTTGGGTCGAATTAATGATAAAGGCATTGACCCTATACCAATATTAGCGACAGCTAACTCGCGACCCTTTACCGTTTATCCCCCAAAACGATTTCCTGGAATGATCGGTAGAAATTAATTACATTTGTTGACAAAAAAAATACTATTTATTAATAATATGGTCCCTTTATAATTCTATTTTTATATAGAGCCTTCGCCACTTGCCCGTTGTTTCAGTAAGCAAGGGATTAAAATCCCTGCTCGAAAAGAGAACAAGAAGTCCGAATTTAGCCCTGAACAAGAGAGCTAAATTTAGCCCCCAATATTGAGGTTTGAATTAAAATCTCCCATTAATCTTTTTTTTTAAAAAAAAAAGTGTGATATATTGAATTAATGATTCCATATCTTTTTAGATAAATAATTATATTTAAGTTTTTAAGGATTTCTACGTTAAAATAAGTCATAATTAAGTTTTTAGAAATACTACTTAAAGAATATTTGTTATGGAATCACGCACACATTTAAGAAGCATTTTTGATTAAGAATTTCAAATAATTTTATTAGTTTATTTTTCGCTGAATATAATTTATAGGCTATGTACGATATATCATTGGAATTGAAATCTTATGATATTCGAAAAATTCATTAAGAAATGTATGAAAATACGCTTATTACCGTTTAAAATAAGAAAACGAATACTGTAATAATAGTTAATAACTAAAATATTAGTTTCACAATAGAAACATCTTAATATATATTATGCAAGTAGAAATATAAGAAATAATGAATAAAATATATAATGGTCGCTTCGTTATACTTTATTATTATAAATTGTAATATATACATATCTAAACAATTAACTAACATTAAAACTACCTCACAGTTCATCGTTGCTCTTCTTAAAGGAACTACTGGCCAGTTGAGTATAAAATCTTTAATAAATAAATCATATATATAACTAAAAATTTACATATAAAATCTCTCTTATCTTGTAATTTAATTTTAGGATCTTTAAAATTAAATCTGAAATAAATTCGTGGATTAAATAAAATCTTATATTCCATAGTAATCCCTTAAATCTTTATCTCTTTCCCTTGTAAAGTTTATGTTTGCCTTGATTTGGAATCTTGATAGTTATATGTTAAGCAAAATATATTTGTCAACAAAATCTCAAATACGTATATTCTAGTATAATTCAAAATATGCTTTATGAAATTAAATCTTTTTCTTGTACAAGATCTTATCTATCATTACCCACCAATTCGATAATAATTTCTCACTCCCACCTATAATTGTCACATATCATCACCGTCCGGATATCAATTTTTTTTGGGGGGGTACCTGGTAATCACCTGAGTCTCATTTGGTTACTCGAGAGGGGTGAGCAATATTTCAGAGGAACTCTAAATAAAAATTGCATGTAATATTTTTTTGTATTTTCTTTACTCTTTCAATTATTTTTAATCATTGCATAGCTTTAAGATTTATTACCTTGTAATGTCTTAAGCCAAAGTCGAATGAAACATTTATCTTGATATAGACACAATATTTTGTTATTGATATATTTCCGAATATGTTTACGTTTCACTTCGGTGGTCAATCCTAAAAATTTGTTTCTTTTAGTGGTATTGCAAGTTTCACATGATGTTTCTACAATGTCTTGGTTAACTATAAACACAAAAAACTTACATTGTTATATAATGATCTCTGTCTGTAATATTAAGTTTCAGTTTATAAAAATAATAAAAATGGATGATTCTTTATTTCCTTTAGCTTTTGTTTTTAATACTAATTCATTAAAATGGTCTAATTCTTAAGAGTACAATATTAATATTTTATTTTAGAATGCGCAAAGTAAAAATATTGGTCGTATCGATCATACTAAATTTTTGATTTTTTTTTTTTTTTATATTTTTAGTGAGTAACGAATAATGAAAAGAGAAAATTTATCCTACTCTAGCAATATTAAAGCATTTTATGAATGGTCTATTCCAAATATACCACATAATGATAATGAATCTTCTCCACTTATAGCCATTCAAAGAAAAAATGTAATATATTTCCTGATATTTGTAAAATTTTTAAAATATAATATATATATTCACATAAATTAGGTGTTCTCTTAATTAGAAATACAAGCCTTTGTTGTGCCAGATAGCTAATAGTTAGTCAAATAATGGTGTGGGCAGGGATGATACAGAAATGCTAGAGATTTCGAAGATGCTAAAATTGCTAAAAAAAAAGTTCTTTGCGTGTTAGCAGATAATATGGTATGGTTATCGTCGGATGTTTACACATGGTATCAGCGTCAAGGGGAGTTCCCGTTATTATTATTTTAACTAACGATGCTTTGGCTGGTTAGTTTCCTCGGTTCTCGGAGCAACAACGAGCTGTCGTAAAATAGGATCTTATTTTTAGCAAGCTTCTTTATGTATTTAGTTGTTTTAATTTGTTTCTCCATGTAACAGTTTTACAATAAAATATACGCATTGAAGCGAGGCTCCGTTGGTTAAAAAAAAAGCAGATAATTGTCCAAATCCACTATTTAAGAATTTTACATATTATAATAGCTCGTCAGCGTAATCCAAAAATATGTGATAATGCAGTTTATTGGAATATTTAAGTATTATGAGTAGTACCAATGTTCCGTGCTGATGAAAAAAGAAATAAATAAAATTATGAAAAATGAGGACAAATATTTATTTTTTTCTTGGTAAATATTTTTTTTATACATGACGCAGAAGATTCATTGAACGGCATAAAGGGAATGGTCATATGACATTATCATTCATCTTATCCATCTTTCAAAATAAGAACAATCATAAAAAATACACAAAACATAAACATTGTAATATTTCAAAATTTGGTATAATTATTTCTCAAAATGTACAGTATATCATAAAATATATAAATAAATCAAAATGAATTTTTTCGAATTTGAAAAGTTGTACTGTATATTCGGTTCCATAAACATAACAATCAAATGTTGTTTAAGTGTTTTGAGAATCTTAAATTTCTTTTAAAAAATGAATTCGAAATCATCTAATGTTTTTCTTATATTGTTCTTTACTATAAATTGGTTAGTAGCAACGGTTTTTTGCTATAAACCAAGTTCACGACAATATCAAAGTAGTGTTCTTATTGGCTCCAAGATTTATTATTTTGGGGGTTTGTCACCAAGTGGTTCAAAAAGAAAGAATGATGCACTTTATTTTAATGTAGATACTTCTGAATTTACTGCTGTTGATGATATCCCCGCTTATATTCATCACTCTTCTCCAGTGGTTCATCCTGAAGACGAAAATACTTGTTTATTGATTGGAGGTGATTATACATCTTCCGAAACAGGATATGATTATAAGAGTCCAAATCAAACCTATAAATTTGATACCAAAACTTCCGAGTGGTCCATAGAAGAAACTTCCAATGAACCTTCTGTGTTCTCTACGCACTATTTGACAAGAGGTGTATCAGATAATAATGGATTTATTTATTTTTTTGCCCACGAGTATTCTTCAATTCATTCTTTTATTAAACTTGATATTAATGCGATGTCTTGGTCAAGCTTCAACAACTCTGGAGATCCTCTTAAAGAATTCTCTGAAAGATTTTTAATAAGACAGTTTTATACTGCAACATTATTACCAAACGGTCTTATTATTTTTGTTGGAGGAATAAACGATCTTAATCAAGCCTATAGTATGAATGATGTAATTAAATTTCAGTTTATAAAAATAACAAAAAATATATTATTGCTTATCATTATGTTTTTATTTTATTTCCTTTAGCTTTTGTTTTTTGATATCAATTCATCAAAATGGTCTACAGCTGTAAGTATGAAACATATAACATTAATAAAGTCATGAAACTAATCATAAAATCTTTAATTCTTTATTTTTAGACTGCACAAGGTGAAGATATTGATGGTCGTTTCGATCATACCGCTGTATTAAGTAAGTAAAAAAAAATGATACTAAATTTTTTGAAGAAAATTTTTTGATTTTTTTTTTTAATTATAATTTCTAGCGAGTGATGAACGTCTTATTATTTATGGTGGTAGTTCTAGTTCGGGTTTGGCAAATGAAGGACCTAATCCTACTCTAGCAGTATTAAAGATAGGATCTTCATCTTATGAATGGTCTATTCCAAGTAGCGATGATGAATCTCATCCACCCCTAACTGGTCATTCGGCGACTATTTACGGAGAAAAAATGTATATTGCATTTGGTAAATAACATAATTACTTATATTTCTAAGATAAAATTAAATATTAATTTTATTTTATGTCTACTATATTCGCATAATTAGGTATTGATCCATACACCGAAAATGCTAAAGATGAAACTATATTGGCTTTTAATGCAAATGATTTTTCTCGGATAGCTCCTAAAAAATCAAAATTAAAACTTATACTTGGAATTTCTCTTGGTCTTACTGCTGGGTTACTTATTATAGGAGGGATAGGAGGATACTATTTCTGTCGAAAACGAAAAAACAGGCAAAATAATGAAGAAATTTTTATAGATGATAATGATTTCATTGACGACCAAGATATTGGAGTTTATCGAAATCCCTTGGTTACCAGAAATGATGTTGATAATAATAATCCTGGATATAATCCTAGATATAATCCCGGATATTCCAACAATCCCAATAATCCTGGATATGTCAATAATCCTCGTTATAATAGTAATTCTGGCAATCCTGGATATGTCAATAATTCTCCCAGATATGTCAATAATCCTAGTTATATTAGTGATTCTGGATATGCCTATAATCCTGGATATGCCAGTGATCACTGATAATGGAAAATCAAAAATCAAAATCAGATAATTTTAAAAATTAAAATATTTAAATCATAAAGAATAAAATAAAATTGGTTTATTCTTGTATTATTCCTACATTTAAAGAATAGTGACTTCACGAGAAGCTATACATTATAGTAGCAATGTAGTAGCAATTTTTTTTATTTAGCTACCTACATATATGCTATGTAGAAATCTAGATTTCATGATCTTCATCTTTTTTAATTATATACTACTTTTTATTCTACGATTATACGATTATGACTTTGAAAAAGGTAACTTCAGTTAGATAGTAGCATAATTTGCTTATTTAATAATATATTGATACGTTTGTTGTTGTTTTATGCACCATGTAAAAATTTTTGTTACTCTGCAGATAATTAAAAATATAAAAAATGCCATGAATCGAAATGTAATAATTAAAATCTACAAAATTCTTCTGATCTTTCTTATTACTTGAACTTTATATTATGTCTGTTATTAAATTGACGGGATCTAATAAAACTTTGTGGAAAGTATAAATCATTTGCTAAACGAACTAAAGCTCTAATAATTGTTGACTAAAATATAAATTTAAACGTTTAATAAATCCAACAAGAATTTTATAATATAAATACGAAAACATTATTAACATATTTTAGATTCCCAGATATGATAATTCTTTTCAATCCAAGAATAATAAAAATTATCGATTTATATAGATTTCTAACTGCTAAATATTTTCTTATTATTATGAAATGATATAAACCATTTTCTTTATAAAAAACTTAATATCCTCGTAATTGATATTCTTTATATCAAATATTATAAAGATCTTTTGTTATATAGCATCCTAAAGAAGAAACTGGTACTTGGTTCCGTTTAATTTAACTTTATAAATATTTTATTTATGTATTGAATACATTTGTGTGACAAACTTAGAAGAAATGAAATAATTTATTTCATTCGTTAACCTAATTATCATGACAAAATTTCTTATTTAAGAAATATTTATACATGTTGTGAGTATTTAGTATGGCTTAAAAGGATTAAAAGGGCGTATTATTATGGTTTGAACAATATCAGCAATGATTTTTTTCTATTAATACCTCTCACCTAAATTCTAAATTTGAACTGATATACCATTGTACATTTAGGTTGTGTAATATGAATTCCTGATTCTTATTTTGACTAATGTGATACGTTTCGAGTGTTTCAATAAATTTTGAATCAGTTGGGATCGTTTATATCTAACAAATTGTTTGTTAAAGTAATTAAAATCATTGTGTAAATTCGAACACAATATTATCAGAAACTTGGATCTACATTTAGTATTGTTCGTTCTAAACAAGAATATAAATAAATTATGCATTGTTTGTGTAATTCTTTAACATCTTTTTAGGTTTTGTGGATGTAAATTTTACAATAAAAACCCCCCAAAAATATTCGCAAATTTCATCAAAATTTACTATTCGTTCAAAATCTTTTTTTTTTATTTTGTTAAAATGCTTACAGAAATTCAAGCTTATGGTTTTACTGGTTTCGTATGTGGAGTTGCTGTGATGGTAAGTTATCGCAACAAATATTTTGACATTTATATATTTTTTTAACTTACATTTTTACTTTGAATTTAGATAACTTTACATAATCTTTTCATATCTATCATTTTATACAAAGCTCGTAAATCCAATGTTTCTAATATCACCAAAATTATCTTGAATCTTAATATAATGTTACTTTTCATATTCAGATTTTCAATTAACTTTACGCCTTCCTGGATAGATTTACTTGGTTGCCAATTTTTATATTATATAGGATATATTGCATCATTTTTTTATAGAACAGCCTTAGCAATTTTTTTATTGTGGCGTTTAAGACAAGTTGGAAGCTCGCAAATAGATAAATGGGCGAGCATCATCTTATTCTCAATAAGAACAATAGCTAACGTATGTAAAGTTACTCAAATATATTATTATTTTCTCTTACAATTTATTTACCCCTTATTTTTTTTTATGGATACAGCTTACATTATTTGGTTTTTTAAGAGTATCTGTATTACCAATCCCAGATCGAATTATTTGCTGGTCTGATTCATTCGCAGTAATAATACCAGAAACGATCATAGTATCCATAGACTTTTTGATTGATATATTTATTACGGTTAGATTAGTACAAGTCCTTCGTATGGCCAACACGAATGCAGCAAGTCTCAGATCAAGTGGGAGTAGGAAAACAAAACGAACATTATTTACCGCAGTTATGTATTGGAATTTTGTTCGTTTGGCAGTGGCATTTGGACTAAATTTAATGACAGTTGTGGGCCTTATAGCTACATTTTCTGAGAAATATGGTGCTGGATTCACCCGTGATCAGCGTATTGTTGTGATCTTTTTTAATACATTTTTCTTTGTTCTACTGTCATACGTTGTGACTGTAGATGCTGAAATTGTTAAAGTAATCGAAGGTGAAAATCAAAATAAAAAAGGGTCAAGTACAAGCGAAAAATCGAGTTACCCTTACCCTAGTTCCTCCACGAACTCTACGAATCGCGCGACTTATAAAAGTACTGGTTCAAAACATAATACACAAAGTGATTATGATGTATCCATGAAAAGATTGTCATTCTTTGAATGGGCTAACATTGTTTTGGGCTTTCGACATGAAAAAAATCATGTGCAGGAATTTACTCAAGAGGAATTTGAAGAAATTATTGGATCTTTAGAAGCTACCAATCGTGACCCCGAAAAAGGAGAAGCTACTAATGATCCTCGCAACAGTAATATTAGTGGAGGATCAACAATAATCATCCCAGAATAAAGATGAAACACGTATCAACAATAATTATCCCAAACACGACTGACAAAAAATTGTACAATAATATATATTTACACGGTGTGTAATTTAAAAATTTTTTAATATTTTCCTTTAAATTCTTTAAGTTCTTGTATAATATTTATTCCCCTTAAAGTTTAGCAATTCTATTTATTTCATTATAATAATAACAAAATGAATAATAAATAATGTTTAATTGATATTGCATGACTGTTTTTTTCCCAATCATTTGTTATAAATTCAAAATTCAGACAGTTCTTTATTAAACAAAGAAATACAAATACAAATCAAAAGTATACAAAATCATTGCTATACCTTTTTACACACATTGTAATGTATGGAAAATATGGAAGATTTATAAGTATATTTGCATTTAAAAAAATATGAAATAAAGCAACAAAAATATTAAATGGCAATGTGAACACAATGTTAAATTGCTAAATGACAAATATAAATGTTAAATGCAGAAAAAATGTTACAAAATATGAATTATTCTATTTAAATGCATATGAAATGTGAATATATTATACTATTGAACATAATGTTAAATGTTAAATGACAAATATAAATGTTAAATGCTAAATGACAAATGTTAAATACTAAATGCAGAAAAAATGTTACAAAATATGAATTATTCTATTTAAATGCGCATGAAATGGAAATATGAATATTATAGAATAATATAGGCAATGAGATGTCCACATTTGTATTCTATTGATCAAAATATTACATTGTGATTACGTTCCTTTTATTCTCATCCAGGAGAATTGGCTCTCTTCTTAGGGAAAATGCCAAGGAGAAGTTTGACGTGCTTCGAGCTTCGGATGGGTTTGAGGATTATCATTAGTAGAAGGGGAATCTTGAGGAATAGGACTTGGAATAACGCTATTGACGGCCACGAATAGGATAACCATGATGATGAAGAATAGTGATTTCATTGTTATAATGAAGAAGATATTAAGGGTATTAAAGAAAGAAAGGATAGTATTAAAGAATGTAAATTAGCGTGAATATGCTAATTGTAGTTGTGATTTAATATTAACAAAATCAGACTTTTCAAGAAGAGATAAATATAAGTCGTACTTGTTAATACTTGTTGTTAATTGATTATTAAAATAAAAGACATGAAATTAACGATGAGAAAGAGACCTTTTTTATACAAATTCGTTTTTGCTTCAACAAAGGAAATTAACGATATTCATTGGTGAAACATTCTTTGTTATTTTAATTTATAAGTAATTCTTGTTTTCCTAAAAAAGCGTACAGGATACGTAATACAATTATATTAATAGAAACATCGTGCGTTGTCGATATTAGAACAAGGAATTCATTTGCTGTTTGCGAACGATAATGGTATCATACATAAAGTACCATCCCACCAGGAGAATCACCTAGAACCTTTGAAACGATAAGTTCGCTAGTTTCATAAAAGACTGTTAACCAGATTAGGCAATTGGAAATCCGTAAAAATAAACTGTATTTATATTAATTTGCAGTTTAATCAATGAACCAAAGATGCTTAAAGATTTAAAGTCTTCGTAACTTAATTTTCGCATGAATGTTATTTACGATAACTAAAAATTATTTAAAAACATTTTTTTGACAGTATTTATCCTTTTCTGGTAATAATAAATAAATAGCCATTTTTGGAAGACTGCGTTTATACCGTATATTTAACTTTTGGATAGCAAATAGTAAATTTATTTGTCATTCTTCAACTAATTTGTTTTAAATTAATAAATACAAAATAATTTTTAATAAATACAAAATAATTTTTAATGATACAAAATATTTTTAATGAAAAATTCATTTAAAAAAAACCTTGGATATAATTAATAGCATTGAGTATTGCGGTGACATGAAAAAAAAATTCCATTCATGCGGATGTGTTAAACAAAATCCTAAGTAACATGACGCAATTAATACATCGATCTCGTGATTTTTCGTTGGTAGTCTTACTCAATAATTTATATATTTATATTTTTTATTTTTAAAAAATCTCACTCATTTGAAACCGATTTTTTGGTCAAAGTATTTAAACTGTTACATATAAAAATTTATGGGTTTATAATATTGAAAAACATCCATTTTTCAAAGTATTTGCAGGTTACAGTGAGAACTTGGAAAATCTTAAGATTTGATCACAATTATTTTCTCAATTTTCATGGTTTATGATGTGATTTTAGCCAATTAGAATTTAGAATGTCTAATCACATGATGTAATTTAGCCAATTATAATTTAGAATATTGAATCACATGATTATATCATAAAGATTAGCTGCAAAAGTTTCATTTTTGATAGACTTATTGTTATTTTTTTTTGATATATCAAGATACACATTGTTACTATATTTTTTTACCCTTTTCATTATTGTCGTATTTTCACTATTGTTTCTATCCATCACACCCTGTTACTGTTAATCTCCGTCTATATAGTTTCCCTTTTTAATTGTCACCATCTCCCCTCTACTTCTTTTCTATTTTATTGATATTACTTATCAATACTTATTACTACTTACCTTCATTTATTTACTTATTTTGTACTATCCACTTCATTTTTGTCCTTTTCATCATCCCCTCCATCCTGAATTCATCCTTTATTCTCTTTCTCCACTTATATATATAAATTCTTTCAGCTGTACCAGTTACGTGTTGTTATCCGTGTAAACCTTCTACAATTTACAAAGACAACAGGAGAAATAATACTAAAACTAATAAACAAAACTAAATAAAATTATAAGAATTACTAATCTCAAGATAAAATAATCACAATTCAAGAGTTTATACGTAGAAGGAATTAAGTACGATCAATTATGAAAGAGGCGTATTTAACTATTAACAGTGGTATGAAGACTT